AATAAAAATACTCCTCTGCCCAGTTTCTTTTGCCTTTCTCTCTTTCTCGTTTTATACAATTTTCAAATTGTATCTAATTTCTCTCTTTCTCATTTTATACAATTCGATTCAATTGTATATTCCTTGTCAAATCTCTTTTGTCTTTCTCTCTTTCTCATTTTATACAAATTCAAATTGTATATAATCGTTCTATACACTTATAATAATACAATTCGTTTTATACACTTCGTTTTTATACAGTTCTCTGCCCAAGTGTCTTTCTCTTTCTTATTTTATACACTTCGTTTTATACAATTTGCTTCAACTGTATATGTATAGCGAATTATACATTTCTATGCTTGTTATGGAGCGCAATTATGCAAACTTTGCTATAACATACAAATATAAATTTTTTATTTGTTATATGTGAAAGTTGCCCTTTATTGTTTTATATTTAAAACTTTATAATTTATGTATATTATATACAACAATAGCAACAACCATAATACATTTTGAGAAATTCCCCAAGTGTCATTTTGAAATTTCTGAAAAAGAAAATGTACTCAAATTTTATTTCTTACATTATGAAAGTAAAGAGATTATATTCGATGGATACATATCAAAATAGACATGTAGAGAAAAATAACAATGAAAAAAAATTAGTATATGATTGATAATGAATTAATAACAATAATAAAATAGTGTAAAATCAAAACATCTTTAATAGCAAATGATCACAGGAAAAAAAACATGACACTACAAGAATAAGGCTTAAATCCGTCCAAAAGCAAGATAATACTCTACTACCTACTAACTTTTCCAATTTAATTTATAACCACTTATTTAAGATCATATCTCGATAAGTTAAAATTGTGTCATATCATATCTAATCATCTTTCCTCGATACTTTTATATACTTACATTTGTTGGCTATTATTATTTCAATAGGCAACTATTTATGTCAATTTCACATATATTTATCCATAGAATAGTAAGTAATTATGCTTGAAGCAAACGTAGAGAATATTTATTGATTAAAATTGTATTAATAGTCCTCTTGTTTTTAATTACTCATGTGTGTTCACTGCTTGATATTATCAAAGTGTGTACATATACTCTTTGATCGATGGTATCAGAGAAAAAGAACCATTGCTTTAGTGAAAACACAATTCAATTAGTTCTTGATATCATTTGAGTAATATATATATATTATTATGATATCAATGAGAAATAAGCAGTGTTTCAGTGAAAAGACTACTCAATTACGATTTAATATTATTAAAGTAATAAGCCAATTTCAATAAACTTATTGGAGGGCTCCATTGACATGCATCCTGTAGGAATTGAACCTACGAATTCACCAATTATGAGTTGGGCGCTTTAACCATTTAACCATGGATGCTTAGCGGGGATCCTCGTACATGGTGAATAACTAAATTCCAACTGAAATGAAATCTTTAGGATAAATCAATGCAATTTAGGAGGAATCAATGAGAGGACACAATTCAAATCCTAAATTTTCGAATAGATTTGGGTCGTGTAATTACATCCGTCAATTACATACAATTATATGTTGATCAAGTAATTACATGACCAAACAAGCATGTTATATGTATAATTACATCAAATTCAATTAGCAGGTGACTTTTTAACCAGATCCTCATAGAGGAAATACAAAAAAAATGCATTGAACATCGCTAATAAATAAAAGTTAAAACGTTCTTCTGGTGCTATTTATCAACAAACTAAAGCTGAGATCAAATGTTAGTGACTTTTAATTATCTTTCCAACATTAAAAGTAAATAATTTGTTTCTCAAATAGAATGAGGAAAAAAAAAATTGGGACAAATTATACATAAATGTCCTGAAATTAAGTATAGAAAATTTACTTAATAATTATATTGTTGAAAGTGGAAAAAGATTTTATCCCCTTCTCAACATAATTATACTGGTTAGTCAAATATAAAAAAAAATTATATAATTTTTTATATTAAATGTATAATTTATGTACGTTATATAAACGACAACAACAACAATAATAATAATAATAATATATTTAATAAAAATCTTTAAATATTTTCTCTCACTTAAAGAAAGATAGAGTTTACTTAAATTTTATCCATTCATTATATATATATATATATAATAACAATGGTTGAAATATTGCAATTAATAATAAAATAATAATAATAATAAAATAGTTCAAAACCAAAACATCATAATTGATGATATAAAGGTAAGACGCTATAAGATTAAGGCTCATATTAAATAAGTATAAATTTGTCGAAGAGCAAGACAACACTCTACTATCTACTAACGATCTATTTTAATTTAAAATCTTCACAATCTCTTATTTAAAATTATATCTTGATAAATTAAAAATATGACATATTCTATTTCTACAATACTTTTATATATGTACATTTGTTGGCTATTCCTTCCATAGGTGGCAATTTATGTCAATTTGTCATATATTTATTCACGTATTAGAAAGTATCTATGCTTGAAGTGCACATAGAGAATATTTATTGAGTAAAAATTTATTACCATTATAATATTAATCCATGCTATTATTTTTTGGGAAAAGAATATTTGCATATTTACAAGTGATTACCCTTTTACTTTCATTACCTAGAAGCGGATCCACGACGAGCTTTACAGGATTCATTTAAATTCCATCAATAAAAAAATTATATTATTTATATAAAGTAGAATTTGTGTATTTCCGTAAATATATTATTATGAACCCCTTCAAATAAAGAGAAATTGATGGTGTAGTTTACAAGTCCCCCTGAAATTAAGTTATGTGTCATTGGTTCGAATTCTGGTGAAATTGTTTTCTTTTTTTCTTTTTCATTTTCACTTTTTCTTTTTTTAATTTTTTTAGTTCTCTTTTTTATTTTTTCAATTTAAAAAACGTGTTAAAAAGTGTGATTTTAAACTCAAAAAAATTTAAGGTTCCATTTCTAAAGAAAAAAATTTGAATATGACATTAGAAAAAATAAACACAAAAAATTGCATGAAATCTCATTAAGTAAAGTAGGAGTGTACATAATCGGGTTGGTTCGGGTTTTTCAAATATCAAACCAAATCATTTGTGTCGGATTTTTGAATTTATAAACCAAACCAAACCAATAAAACTCGGGTTTTTCAACTTCGGGTTTTTTGGGAAAATATTTATACAAACATATAATTTACTTGTACATCAAATATTTCTTTAGTCCTATTAAAATGCAACTATCTAAGTTATTTCTCAAGAAAATAACAAAACATATGATATGTTTAATAACACTAAAATATCCAATAAAAAAAATAATAAAATCGCGTAAAAAATATTGCAAATTAAATCATAATGAAATTGATCATAATTTAAAATACTAAATCATGCTAAAATAAGTTTAGCAAGTATTAATTACATGACTAAACATTAAAAGTAAAATTAAATCATGTATTTTAATTGTCTAAATCTGTGTAAAATTAAAAAACAAATATTCAATATTATTGTCATTCTTAGTGTTGAATTGATTTTCTTTTTGCATTAATATTAATTTGATTTTTGTTTAAACTTTATTATAATTACCAACACGTATTATGAACTATAATCTTTATTAGATCATTAAGAATTCTAACTTCCGAACATGAAATAAATATATTAAAAGATAAAAACTATGAAAAAGTATAAGAGATATTTAAAAATTATATCAAAATAGGTATTTTTACGTATAAAATAAAATTTTAAAATTATATATATTAATGTCGGGTTGGTTTGGTCTCGGATTGTTTTCTTTTAGTTGAAACCAAACCAACCCAAATATAGTCAGATTTTTTGTTCCAACACCAAACCAAGTCAAACCAAACCACTAGTTGGATTTTTTTTCCGATTTGACTCAATGTGTGGTTTGATTCGATTTTCGATTAGATTTTGTACACCCCTAAAGTAAAGATTGAAATGAGAAAGAAATTAAATATAAATAATAAAATATAAGAAAAATAGAAAAAATTTAGGATAATAAAATAAAAAAGAATCTAAAAAATAGAAACAAAAAATGAATTTCGAAACAAAAAAATTTAAAAATAAACAACTTGTAATTACATCATATTATCGCTAGCAATTTACGACCCCTTCTTGAGAAATGGAGAGTGTAATTACCCTGTCACTAACACCTAACTATGTGTTGACCAAGTAATATAATTACATCTTAATTATATTAAATCTAATTATCACCTAGCTTCGCCCAAAAAAACACACACGAGAAAATGCATTCGAGATCAATAATAAATTAGACGCACTTGTCAAATGCAATTTATAAACAAAATAAAGCTGAGGTCAAATGTTAGTGACTTGTAATTATGTTAAAATAATTTGTTTCTCAAATACAATCAACAAAAGAAAATGGGACAGATCATATATATATATAAATATAAATATTCTTCAAAGTAAGTGTAGAAAATCTAACGAAGGCTATTACTCACGTCGTTCACTTTTGATTGTCATGTTACACTTTTCAAAAGTCAAGTCGACTGATTTTTAAAATTATATTAGATTATATTAATTCAATATTTTAAATAAAAAATTTAGATATTTAAAAACTACAGAAAATTGCATATCAATACCATGAAAAATGCTCGTAAAATATTAGTCGAAATTCTTATAATTTAACTCTAATTTTTTTATAAAAAAAAAACATTGACAATTAAAAGTGGTTGAGTACTTGCTTGTTCCAAATTGTATGGTCCTTCTTTTATAAATTTGATAAGTTCCAAATTAAAGTTTCTATGATAAATTTTCGTGTATACTATTACAATATTCAAGAATTCAAATTAGTAAATTATATAGTTAACTTTAAACTTTTTCATAAAGTGATTTTCCTATCAAACTATTTCTTTTTTTTTTCAAATATTAATTTAATATTTTCCTATTAGCACTGTAATATATAAATTGAATTAATTCCACGGAATGCCTACCACCACAGATTTAGATACTAATATTAAATGACAGAGACACCAATCCACTTCAGTCATTGAAATACAACAACTGGTAACACCAATAAGTAAACAAACTTGAAATGGCCAAATTTACTCAGAAACCAGAAACAATACAACAGATCAAATGTTTTTGTCTTTGTTCTCTTCTTCATCTATTGTATCACTAAATAAATATTCTGCCATTTGTTTGTGGCAAAAACACAACAAAACAACCATGCTCAAACTGAACGCGCCAAAAGAAAACCACTTGTCGTTCCTACTTACTCTGATGAGCATCAAACAGAGGTTCCTCGGAGAACCATAGCTTGTCTTGGCTGTTACTTGGTGAAAGCGAGCTTTCTTTCTCTGAGATTAGCAAGGCCAAAACCAGGTTGTTTAGAAGAAAAATAATAGCCATGTCGATGAGAGAGTATATCATACGACACTCTTTCTACGGCTATGAAGAATTGTTAGATGCCCTGCAACAATGCAAAATAGAAGGCATATTATTTTTCTGGACAATACATCTGCCTATGAAAAACATACCAGATCAAAGCATGCGAGTCTTTGGGTAAATTTATGCTACATTGCTTATCAAGTCCCCATCAAGATCTTTAACATTTGCCCCAACCATCCAAATATAAATGCTACCTCTTATTTCTTACACCTTTTCTTCACTTCTAGTAGGGAACTCTCATCTGTTCTTAAATATTTATCACTTTTGCTTCCTGAGATTCAAACCAAACGAAATTTGAAAACCATTTTTTTAATAACCATGGTATTCGGGCCAGCTTGCGAGCACCTCGTCTAATTCTATGAGATTTAGTTCAGTTCTGGTCATTTATGCTTTATCTAACAAGACAAATTTTTAGTCTGATTTAGCGACAACAATTCGTCAAATCTGTAGGCAAGAGTGGACTAACATATTAAGAGGGAGAGTACCTTGCACTTCATCAGGATTAGCTGATATTATGTTCCATAAGACTTCAAAATCATTTTAAGCATCTACTGCCAAACGCTGCCAGATAAATTGGAGCAATATTTAAACTTAGAGCACTGGCCCCTGAGCACGAAAGGAAGGGAAAAACGCTGCTGCAAGTCTGTAACCTTCTAGGAGAAAAAAAATGAGAGCATGGCCACAGTACCAGTTTGTATCATCTAGGAACAATGTTCTGGACTCACACCTGCATTAGCCAAAGAAGTAAAATCTCAGAGCTCCTTAGATAAGACATAAATAACAAATGCTACATTAATAAACAAGTAAATAAATAATGCAATGCAAAGCCTCAATGGAGTTTCATCGGCATGACTGGAATTATACATCCACATTCTAGGATCAGATGAATTTCAATATAAACAATTTTCTTAAACACAATATATTTTTAAGGATAGATGAAGAAGCATTATACAACAGTTATGAGCACCTTGAAAGATAGAAGATTCAAATTCATTGTTTCAGCAACAAAAGCTTGGGTTGTTAATTTTATTTTATTTTTTAGTAACGACATAACAAACAGTACATTTTTTTAATTATGGTTGTTTCTGCCTGTCTGAGCCTGTTTGCACAAGCACACATAAAAATGGTACTTAAAACCCCATTATTATGATGCTAACTAAAGCTAGATAATAGCTAATTATACCAAGGCATCCTAAAGACAGGTAAAAATTTTAGGCACTATATAAATTACGCAAATTACCCTTTCCTTAGTGAGAGAGGTCAGTAAACAGACTGGCACCACCTCAGACATCCTCAAACAAATTGCCACACTTCCAACAAGCTACTATTTTTCTCTGGTGACAGCAAAGATATGCCCATTATGTTAAAGAAAAGTTCCCAACATCGTCTTGAAATCTGCAATGCAAGAAAAGATGTTCAACTGTTTCCTCCTCTAAATTGCAGAAATATCAGCTACTGCACAAGGAAAACCCATTCCTATGTAACTTGTGTTGTGTTTTGGAAGCATCCCTAGCTGCTAGCCAACCAAAAAAACTGCTTTCGTAGGTGCTCTAGTTTTCCAAATCATCTTCCATGACCAGTTAGGAATTCCAAGGTTATTGCATTTCAGTTTCTGCCATTCCACCTTTGGAAACTCTCCTCTAATCTTCTGATAGAACCATCTTGTTTGGAACTGGTTCATGTTATAAATATCAGTTAGTTCATGTCCTGCTTCTGTGAAATACCTAGGTGCCTTCATGATCTTCTGTATAATTTATGATGCCTGTTTAGGAATGGTCTCCATGAAGTTCCTGTTGTTCCATAGCAGCAGTTTATCACTATTTTAACTTTAGCTAAGAGATTATTTTACAGGTTTAAGCAAAAGAACCAAAATATAAACCTAAAGGAGAGACATATCAACTGCTTTATAGAATGCCTAATGCAGGCTTTCTTAGGAACCTACTGTAGCTTCACATTCAACAAGGTAAGGTTAATAAAATATCAAAGTTGGTAGGATGCAGAGAAACAAATGATTTGTATCGTCACTACTTAGTTTTAGAAAATCTGGAAAATAAAACAAGCTATAGCCGACCAGAATGCTGGCAATTTTTACAGAACCTATACTTCAGCATTTTGATGGAGATTCGATCTCGCCTGCCATCCTGAATATAGATGCAACGGCAACTTCATTCCAACCTGTAAGCCAGAGGGGCCATCAAACTTTTGAAACCTATACTTCAGCATTTCCTTCAACATTTTTAATGTTTTTAAAGCCAGAAATCCCCAAGGGCCAGTGACGCATGATTCAACACTCGGTGAATCATGGGCCCTCCCTTCTATCCTTCTCAACTTAAAAGTGTTGAATCATGGGCCCTCCCGTCTATCCTTCTCAACCTGGATTTTGCCGGCAAAAAAAAGTTAATGGCGTTTTCCCAGAATACCTCAGCATCTCCTTCACCATTTTCAACACTTACAAAGAAGTTTTATTATATACAAAAGGTAGATCACTAAATATTTTACTTCAGAAGAAATGAAGAAACATATTGATTATGATAAAGAGTAACAACATTCAGTGTGCAAGTTCTGAATACCAAATAAGCCTACAAAAAAACTGCAGTGGAAATGCCCATATGATAGAGAACACTTACATTCCATGACCGTCAACATCAAAAGGAGAAGCATAGTCCTTAGTTGCATTAAACACCCCCTTGGTTATAGCAGATGCTGCAAAATGATATGCTCTAAAGGTGAAGAAAACATACTTTTCATTTTCCAATAGAAAGTTTATCTGCAAAAACACATAGATAACTCGGGCTATTTTCAGAGCACCCACCATACATATAGACATTGGTTTCACTGAGAAGCAAAACGAACTCATACACTTTCTAGGTTTCCCAGATAGATATTGTAAGAACCTTCTTTCAGTCAGTGCTTCAGGAATCTTCATCTAGAACAATGGAGAATAAGTCTGGAATATCATGGACTGCTTTCCAAGGCATCAGATTCTGGTGTATAACCATGCTCACACAATCGCGCTGTTAAAGAATTCAATCCAGCATAAATAAGGTTGGCTTCAGGATGTGATTTATCAGCAGTAATAAAGACATGGACACCATTATGAAGTTCAATCCAGCTACAACCAGGTGTCTTCCTTACATTTTGTAGCTTCATAGCATCTCTTATCTCTAATACCTCTTCATAGCGACCAGTCTGTCCATAAACATTTGATAATATGACATAACTTCCACAATGATCTGGTTCAAGATCAAGTACCTGTTTTGCAGCAACCTTAGCAAGATCATCATTACCATGTATACGGCAGGCAGCCAAGAACGCTCTCCATACGACGGAATTGGTCTTAATGGGCATTGTTAATAACAACTCATAAGCAGCTTCAAGCTGCCCAGCACGACCTAGCATGTCAATCACAGAGGTGTAATGTTCAATAGAAGGCACAACACCATATTTAGGCTGCATGTGGGCAAGAAATTCTCTCCCCTGTTTTACAAGCCCTGAATGGCTGCAAGCTGACAAAACCCCAACAAATGTGACATCATCAGGCCTCAATTCTGCCTTACACATATCAGAAAACAATTCTAATGCTTTGATGCCAAATCCATGCATGCCATACCCCTTAATCATAATGTTCCACGATGCCACATCTTTGAAATTCATCATATCAAAGATCAGCTTAGCTTCACGCATGCTTCCACATTTGGCATACATGTCCAAAATTGCATTGTCAATGTAAGTATCATCATATTCTATGTCAGCAGTATCTTTCCTCAGACCATTAACAATCATGTATCCATGAATCTCTCTACCATGCCTCAACGCTGCTAAATGAGCACAGGCAGGAAGTGTAGTGGTGACAGTCACCAAATCAGGACGTACTCTAGCAGACAACATCCTTTTGAAAAGCCCCAAAGTACCCTCATGATTACCACATTGTTCATGCACACAAATTATTGAGTTCCATGAAAATATATCCTTATCATCCATCGTCTGGAAAACCTCAAAAGCGTCAGCAACACAGCTACATTTACCGTACATGTCTATCAATGCATTAGAAATGGCAACCCCCAAATCAAAACCTTTTTTTATCACAAACCCATGTATCACCTTTCCATTATAAACTTCCCCATAATTTGCCAGAGCTGAAAGTACACCTGTTATGCTAAACTTGTTGGGAATAACCCCATCTTCAATCATCCACCTAAAAACCATCAAAGCACTACCAAACCCACCTGTTTGAGCATAGCCATTGATCATGGCATTCCAAAGCACAACATCTTCCCTCTCCGGCAAATCCTCAAACACATCTAATGCGAAATCCACCATCCTATACATCAGATAACTGTGCAACAATGCACTGCCAATGAACAAATCAACTTCTAGCCCAAGTTTAAAAACTAACCCATGAATCTTTTTCACATCTACTTCATTTTTACAAGCCTTAAGCACACAAGGGAAAGTGAACTTATCAGGAATGACACCAACTAGCCTCATCTTGAAATAGAATTCAAAAGCACTTTTAGGCAAATCATTGGCAATTAATCCTGCTATTATAGCATTATAAGCAAACACATTATGATCAAGTGGTGAAGTATAGAATACAGATAAAGCATTCGATATCGAATTACATTTCGAGTACATGTTAATAAGGCTAGTGGTAGGCACTGGAGATAAATCCAAATGGCCACATCTAAGCATGTGACAATGAACTTGTTTCCCTCCTGTAAGGTCCTTTTCATTAGCACATGATTGAAGTGATACAATGCAAGTCTTGAGATCAAAAGACTTGTAAGCAATGGATGAAAAACTAATTGAATATTGACATTGTGACTTAAATATTGACAAAGACCTCGTAATTAAGGTTCTTCGCCTCATTTAGAAGCAAAAAAAGAAAATGCATACAGGATCTTAGATCACCTTGTAAAATCCCCTCCCTAATTTTTCATCTATGTCATAAAAAAGCAATCTTTTATCAAAAAAACAAACAAAAAACTAATGAAATCCTAACAGGTATGAAATTGAGCACTATAATTATCTACAACTACTATGATTACTAAAAACTTATTATTATCTCAACACCCTTTTCAAATCTGAACCTATATTTCTATACCTGCATATGAAATTTGTGAAAAAGTCACAATCTTTGAAACACCCCAAGAGCCATTCAGTTTAATTACTCAAGAGGGTGAGTGAAAAAGAGTACAGATAGTAAATGGGTGAATGGAAATAGAAAAAACTAAAAAAAAAACAAGAATCAACCTCAGTTACTTGTCATTGATTTAAAGGAATGAAGAAGATGAATACCATAAATGGAATTTACTTCTGTCTGAGGATTGACACAATCTAGGAAGGGTTGAATCAAATACTGAGGTTTAAGGAGGCGGAAAAATATAATCTTTTTTTTATTTGATTTGCCCTTTGTCAATTTATTTTGGCCAACTTTCACATATAACAAACAAAAAATTTATATTTGTATGTTATAGCAAACTTTGTATAATTAAAAAATTTATATTTGTATGTTATAGCAAACTTTGTATAATTGCGCTTCATAGCAAACATAAAACTGTATAATTTGCTATACATATACAATTGTATAATTTGCTATACATATACAATTGTATAATTCGCTGGCCTATTTCGCTGCAATTGTATAATTTGTTTTGCATACAGTTGAATCGAATTAAAATGTATGTATATTGCATAATTATAAGTGTATAGCAAGAAGATATATGTTTTTCTCGCTTTATACAAAAACAGAAACACAATATATATACTTTTATTGTATAAAGCTAGAGAAAATTGTATTTCATTGC